CATCTCCGAGGTTCACCGTTCAGCCTGGGAGTGGACAGCCCCATAAAACCAAATGGGACTAATGAGGTACAGCAGTCCAGGGACAAGCGCCAGAAGGCAGAGAGGGACAAGGAAGCTGGTGATAGTGAACCCAAGGTTGAGTAAGGATAGTGTTGATGTGTTGTGAGGTTATTAACCATTGTCATAGGGCAGCATGTGTACTAACTGTTAAATGAGAAACTATTTTGTTCTGTAAGCCTTCAGCTTAAGTGAGAATAGCAGCACAACTGGAAGAGCGTAGTTGATGTCAGTGAACTGTGCCTGTAGAAATTTGTGAAATAGTGTATCTTTGGCTATGTATATTTTCACCAAAAAAAAAAGGTCAAGAAGGGAGAGGGTTGACATGTTGTGGGGTTGTTAACCAATGTCATAAAACAATATGCGTACTAGTGTTTCATGAGAAACTATTTGCTCTGTAAGCCTTCAGCTGAAGTACAACTAAAAAAAAAAACAAAAAACAACGTGAGTCATTCATTGATCTAGCTACTGACCTTTCTCAATGTTTATAATATTTATATCTTCTTACCTCTTTTACGGCCAATTTTTCTTTTCCCCTTCGGGGACACAGAAAGTGAAAGATTGACTTTTTGTCGGTGATCTGGTCGCTTTATAGTAGGTACGCATAAAAAGCGTACCAGAAAGGGCCACATCAGAAATCGAGGTTTGGAGCAGCCATTTCTGCAGAGCAGGTATTGCCCGACCACGTGACAGGAAGAGTCCTGGAGAGTCTGCGCAGCGATCCTCCTTCCCCGCTGGCCCTGAGTGGCCGCGCAGGCGCACCAGGAATACACCGCTGCCGTTGGAGGGCAGCGAGGCCGGACTGGAGAGCGAGGGCCGGCGAGGGCCCGGGCTCGGGTCTCCGTCGGTGATGGCCGCTCAGCTGGGTCCAGGGACCTGGTGCTAAGGGTGCCACCACCTGGATTCTGCCACTTGAGCCGACGGGGCCAGGGTGCTGGTGTGAAGACCTGGACTGGGTGCTGGACATGCGCAACTGGGGGCAGAGTGACTAGGCTGGCGTGGTAAACCATTAACCTGTGCGTGGGGCTGAGAGGGTGAAACTTGGTCTTTTGGACTTTGAACAAGTATAATGCGGGTGACCCGAAGCGATTCCAACTCACAGCAACCCTATAGAACAGAAGAGATCTGCCCCATAGGGTTTCCAAGGAGCGGCTGATGGATTCAAAGTGCCGACCTTTTGGTTAGCAGCCAAACCCTTAACCATTGCACCACCAGGGCTCCAAAGTGCGGGTAATGAAGTGAAATCTGTTAACTTTCAAGAGCCATAAAGGAGCATGGAGACTAACAAAACGGCCGCTTAGTTGGGCCTGGGCCTTCCATCTCAACGCCACTGCCCGTTCTTTATTTCATCAAGTATTGAGTCTTTCCCTCCTGGCCCACAAATGGCTCCGGCCACCGGGATAGGAACTAAGCACAGGAGAGGAGTATGAGACTTGGGAGTCAGAGGAGGTTTCTCAAAAAAAGGTTACTGCTGCAGCCGTTAGGACTGAAACCAGGGCAGTGGCCAGCATGGGGCTGGGAAGTTGGGCAGGGCACAGTTCATGAAGAGCCTTGTTGCCCTGCTAAAAAATTTAAACTTTTTTCTGAAGACAGAAATCATATCCTTGCTAAAGATGAGAAAGATGGAGAAGTAGTTTCTGGACGTGAGCTCTCTGCAGCTTTTCCAGAATTTCTGTGTAAGGCACCCAGTGGGGTTGGGAATAGGGCTAGGGGACTTGCCTTGCAGCTGCTTTTGAATCAATGATGTGATCACCAGAACATAAAAACAAATTATTTGTTTATTTTTACAAATAGGGGTACTGAACTGAGTTGTAGAGTAGCTGAATATATAACTTTAAAAAAAAAGAATTCCAACCAGCAGTTATTCCCGATGTATATTGTAGCGTTGGTTTCTTCCTTTCATCAATTAAACACACACAATTGTTTTCTAATTGGTTCTTTTTATTAATACTTCATTTGAAGTGGTTTTGGTAGGGACCTGATGGATATTACAGTTACGCTAAATGCCCTGCCCCCGAAGTGACTTCATGTTGCTCCACTGTTAGCTATGAAGTTGAAAAGAAGTTTTCTTTACACACATAAGGGTTTATTATTTTTATTATAGGGGCCCTGGTGGTGCAGTGGGTAAAGGGATCAACTGCTAACCGAAAGGTCAGCAGTTCAAAACCACCAGCAGCTCTACGGGAGAAAGATGTGGCAGTCTGCTTCCAGAGGGATTTACAGCCTTAGAAACCCTGCAGGGTCATCATGAGTCAGAATCGACTCCACTGTAGTGGGTTTGGGTTATTTTTATTATTGTCCTGTTATCTGAAAAGTGACAGGCAATAATCATATCTGGATATGACTTTTCATTATTCTATATGAATTCTATAATTCCATGGCTTTTATTTAATCATGACAGAGTGATTAATCTTGGTGGTGGATAGGTGTAAACCCATTCTTTGGGATTTCTCAAAGATGGTGTTTGAATGGATAAAGCTTTCTACTTGTACTTCAGTTACTAACGTATTATTGTTTCTCTTTTGCTGTTACTAGTTCTTGTATTCTTACCTAGCTTTCTTCTGTCTCTATGCTTTATAGCATTAAAAGACATTCAGAAAATCCATTTAAGAAACACAGAAGACTCACTAAAATAATCAAGTTATCAGATTTTAAAGGTGAAAGGAATGAGAGATCATTTAGTCAAACCTCTTCCTTTTGAGAAGACCAAGGCTCAAAAGAGTTTTAAGATCACTTAGCCAGGTAGCATGACTCATGTTATTGACCTAAAGGTGCCATCATCAAAGATGGAGAACAGTGGGATTTCAGATCCACAGGCAGATACAGTCTTACAAGGGGATACAATTTTTAGCCAAGTTTTTATTTTAATGCAATAAGATGATCAAAACACCAGCAAGAAATGTAGGAATGACGGGATGAAAAGAGAAAAACAGCAGAATCCTTTAGGACTGAGGAAGCAACTTTGATAAGGGCTCCTTGATAGAAGAAAAAGTTCTTTGATAAAGAAAGAAGAACTAGGTAGTAGATATGGGTCAAACATAGCAACGATTTTGAGGATGGGGCAGGACTAGTCATCGTTTCATTCTGTTATACATAAGGTCACTATAAGAACCAACTCGACAACACCTAACAGCAGTAACAACATGGGTCATAAAAAATTTCACAAGTCATATTTCTTGTGAGTTTAAGTATAAGAACATGGTTTTGAAAATGCAAACATGAAATTATGAATTTCAGATGAGTTTTTGAAAGCTTTAATCAAACTTCTCTAACACTGTTCCTTTAAAAAAAAAAAAAAACCAAACCCATTGCCGTTGAGTCAATTCCAACTTACATCAACTCTATAGCACAGAGTAGAACTACCCCATAAGGTTTCCGAGGAGCGGCTGGTGAATTCGAATTGCCGACCTTTTGGTTAGCAGCCAAGCTCTTAACCACCATGCCATCATCGTTCTTTAGGTGTTCTTTATACTTTATCATCTAGAGACACTGTTTACTACTGAGAGAAAATATATGTAACATAACCTTTTAGTTATAGAAAGGCTTTTCGGTTATGGAGGCTGTTATTCAGAACAGGTGGATGCAAGTTGATGCCTCTAGGAACTAAAGCATGGAAAGAATGATCACTTCTGAGTTTGAGAAGGTGGTTGCAGAACAATGAGGAAAGAATCAAACTTATCTTCTTATACCAAATCATGTATTGTATTGCAGAAGTTTGCTAATAAAGATATCACAAAAGTTAGAATCATCTAGAGGAAATGCTGGTAGTATGGCTCAGTGTCTGAATTCAAAAATCTCTACAACAGATCTTCTTGTTTTAGGGGTAAGTGTGACTTCATTCTGAGGGGTAAGTGTGACTTCATTCTGACTGACTAAATTCAGGATCATGTACTATTTCAATTTAAAAAGGAGTACTTGGATCTGGAAAGGGACAGATTTGGTTGTCAACAGGGTAAAAGTATTTTTTTTTTTACTGTTAACTCTTCTACAAATTTTGACTGATCTCATGTCTCTTCATAAACAAATATGTAATTGGATATAAGCATACTGACTAAACCAACACACACTGGGTAATAGAGACAGCAGCATAAGGAATAAAAGGGAAAAAAAGGAGACCTTACTCTGAGAAAAAGATCTGTCTCTGATCTCTTTTAATTACTGCACTGATGTCTGTGCTATAAGATAATTATAGATTTGTCTCTTCTGTTATAAACACTTGAGGTTCCAGACAGTTTATCTAGTTCTCTTAATAAACATCAAGGAATTAGGATCATGCTCTTTCACATCAGAAGGGGAGAAAACTTTTCCACTCGATTTGATCTTTTCCTCTGAATTTAGCTACTGTGTAGACCAATTGTCAGAGTCTCCTAGCAGACTGTTAAGCAGAGGTTCTTAACTCTTTGGGGGTCACAGGCCCCTTTGAGTACAGGATGAAAGTTCTGAATCTTCTCCCCTGAAAAACGTACGTATTCACAAGCCTTTCCACCCAATTCCGGAGGAGTTAAAACCTCCTGGAAGCCATTCATTGGCTCTAGATTAAGAACTGTTGTTAACTAAGAAAACCCATCTTGTCCTTCTCCACACACTGGCAGCTTTGCTTCCTTGTAGAGTCCTTTATAAGTTTTGGTTCTTTGGGTATATCATAGTTTTATATAGAACAACTGCCAGTCATATAAGAGGTGCCACTATTTTGCAAACGCATTCACTCCAACAGTTGGGAAAGTCAGCATGGAATTAATATTCTTGATACCTATGTGCTTGTACAAGATATATTTACTAGGTGCCTGTTCTATGCCAGCCAACATATTACAGGCTGATAATATAAAAATGAGAAAATCAAAGTTCAGACCCTTAAGGATCTTGCAACCGGTGGGGGATGATTTTCTCATTCAAATCCACATGGTTTAAGTACTAATAGCATTCTTTTCTCACAGGTTATCCAGATCATGATCGGCATCTTTCATGTTTTCATGTGGTATTTTGTAATGTTTTTGTATATGGGACAAATTCAAGGAGTCTTTGGAATATATGAACCTTTAACTTACAAAACAGGATGTGCTTTATGGGGAGTTATTGTGAGTAGAATATAATTTATATTGATTCGGTCATTCAATAAATAATATCCATGTTATATAGTTGAAGGTAGGGGACAGATTCTAACCAAATTTTTCAGGAGAATTATATAACTAAATCTTATATTAGTAATTTATTCAAAATCAAATTCATTTTCAACAAATATCATTGAGTACTATTCAAGGGCTGTGGATACAGGTGTGAACCCATAATGACAACCATAGGCTAGATTGTCCCTAGATATGTGAAACACAGAGAATCTTAACCATTATCTCTGTTAGCACGGTTAATTCTCAAAGTTCTTTACTTTAGCCTCCTCGTACAAAGAGTTGACCCACATTTTCTAAGTTTGTCGTTACCAGCACTCTTCCATGGTTTCTAGGTAGCCATAAGATAGGAGGAAAACCTGGAGAGTATGGCATCTTGGAAACCAAGTGAAGAAAGTGTTACAAGGAATGGGGAAAGATCAAATATCTTATACTCTGTCAAGTAATATAACGGCTAAGAATTAACCACTGCATTTACCAATATGGAAGCCAGTAGCGAACTTGACAAGTAGTTTCAGTGGAATAGTGGGGCAAGAGCCTGATTAGAGTTGATTTAAGAAATGAAGGAGAGGAATTGGAGACAGTAAATGCAGGCAACTCCTTCAAGGACTTTGCTGTAATGGGGTTAAAGAAGTGGGATAGTAGCTGGGAGAAAGTTTTATCAAGAGAGGGTTGGAAGTAAGTTTTAAGAACTAATGTGCTGGAAAGCTGGAAGAAGTAATATGTCTGTTGATGGGGCTGAATCAAGAGAGAGACAAAATTGATGATACAAAACAAACGAGGAAGGGGCTTTTTGGAGGCATGTACCTGTGTAGGCAAGAGATGATAAATTTTAGTGCGTAAGTAGGTTGATCATAGCTTAGAGCATGGACAGTTCATCTTTAGCAGTGGTCTCAACTGGGATTGATGTTTTCCCCCACAGAACTGGGGGGATGCTACTTGCATCTAGTGGGCAGAAGCCAAGGATGTTTCTAAACATTCTACAGTGCACAGGACAGCCCCCCACAACAAATAATTATGCAACACTAATGGAATAGTGTCAAAGTATAGTAACAGAAACGAAAGACAGAGTAACAGAAAGAACAAATTTTGATGGGTAGGTAGATGAGATTTTGGGAGTTTATGGAAGTTTTCTTCTGATGGCTTCAAGTATCTTAGTGAATGAGAGCTAACAATGAGAATGGGAAAATGGGTTGGTTGTTTGAGGAAAGAAAAGACGATATGAAATAGTCATCTAGGAAAATGAGTACATGAATAATGGAAAAGTAGTTTGATTTCCATACAGCATTAAGGACTCACTTGAGGTTCAGGAACATGATTGTACAGTGAGATGAGTCATATGTCTTTCTCAGGCTATAGTCATTGTAGATGTAGGTCATAGTAGGATGAAAACTGCATTTAATCAAAATTTTGGTTCAACCAAGCCACTGTGATGAAACAGAGACACAAAGGAGTTGAAAATGTATGTAAGAGAGTGTAATGATTGATCATGGAATTGAAGCTGGTGAAGGAGAGAAGAATATAACATTGAGGTGAGGGTCTCAGATTATAGGTCCAAGTGGAAGTCAGAGACTTCTTAGAGTTTGAGTACTAGAGGGCATGAGCTAAAAGATAGCAGGTGGTCTTTCAGGTGGAGTACTAGAAGTTGAGATTTGGAAGGTGTTGCAGTTATTGGTAGAGACAATGTGAAGAGAATGAACATGTGAGTGACTAGGATAGGGATGAGTCAAAACATAGGAGAGAAATTCAAAAAACCACAAGCCCAGGGTGTTAGAAGGGTCATGTGCGTGTATATTGAAATAAGTTGCCATCAAGTCAGTTCCAACTTAACGGCAACCACGTATGTGTATATTGAAATCACCAAGAATTAAGTGGTGTTGGAGAGAGAGTCAGAGACAAGAATTAAAGTCATCTAGAAATTGAGGCTCAGCCAAGGGGTCAGTAGATGACTTCAGCCAGGAGGGATAACAGGTGATGGAATCTAATGACGTGATTCAAAGCTAGGGGAGAGAGAGTGGTTGGACATAGCGATAAGGAGCAGGGAGACCACTCAACACATTCTTGGGACTGAGACAAGATGGATACCACTGTGAGGGCTATACAGGAAGAAGTAACCTCTGGAAGATCCCCTGCCTTTATATACTGGCTCACAAGTGTCAAAGCATTGCCTTGGAAAACAGTCGGAGAAAAATAATAAATTTTCAGACCAAACTCCAGATAAATGATCCATGTCCCTCAGTGTTTAATCTTCCATATGACAAAAATAGCATGTTTAACTCCTAGAATAAATGATCTGAAATTTCTATTAAATGGAATCCAATACAGAACTTCTCATTTAGGTCATAATTTTGAAAGGCATTTTTATAAAACACATGGTTTGGTAATCTAGTTAGAGAGCCTTCTAGTTTAAAATTCACAAGATACTCTTCATTCTGTATTCTGAGCTAGTTCTTACCTTCACTGTGTTCCTCAGAAATCTCAGCTTTTGTTACACTCTCCTGAGCATACAGATTTGCAATATCCTTGTGGAGTTTGTAAGCTTCAGATTTGGCCTTCCTGTATGTGGTGTGTAGCATGAATGATATTTTGCTATGAATTAGCTTTTGACTTGGATCTTTGTCAAAGCCACTAAAACAGTTAAAAGGGATTTGTCAAGGGAATTTTGCATCCGACCTTCAAACAATATGGCATATCTTTGCAGTTGTGGGAAATAGAGAACATAGCCCGGTATGAAACAATGGAGCCTCTTTTTTAAGAAACAAAGGCAAAGGCATGAATAGCAGCTGTTAACCTTAATAATGGCTCCAGTCTCGGTTAAGAGATACATGTTGTACATGTGCAGTTTGTAATAGATTCATAGACTGCTTTATCCACACCTACATACAAATGCAGTAATTATAATAGGTGGCATCATCTCATTAGGAAGGACAGCATTAGAAGTAATAATTGAATGAGTTCAGAAAGTGCACGCACTTATAACCACACTTGGTCCCTGATTCAGGACTGCTTAGGGCCGTTTTTGGCATATCCTACAACCTGAATTCTGCCTACTGTCTCTCGTGTGTGTGTGTGTGTGTGTGTGTGTGTGTGTGTGTGTGTGTGTGTGTGTTACCACTGATGCTGCTGTTCAGCTTTCAATTCATTACTGCATGATAGAAACTGTCTTAGCCCCTTCTACTTAAAATGGGGATATTTCTTTATAGTTTGTTATTCTTAGTATTGTAAAAAATAATTGACTTAGTAGAGGAAGTTGCTAAAATAATTTTAAGTTGATAAGCATTACCAATAGGTATTTATAAATATATGTTTTTATATCCAGTTTATCCTTTCAGGAATCTTTATAATAAGAAAAGAAAAGCATCCAAGTCACTGTCTGGTAAGTTGAAATGTTTAGGGTGTCTCTAGAAATCCTTTATTAAAAAGCTAAACAAATAAGCTTTAATGAAAAGATAGTGAGTCTCTAAACAATGAAAGAATCTTCCTTACCTCTAAAATAAATGAAGGAATTAAGTGAAAATCCAAGGACACATAATTCAGTGTAGACAAACAGGTGACATTAGTTAGATTTGTGACTGCATTAGGTACAGCTTTCTAAATTTTTTAAGTATAGATTTTTTTGTTTTTGGTGTTTTACATTCTTTTAACATAGTAGCTGTTTTTCTATTAGAAAAAAAAAAATTTGGAAGGACCTAATACCTTTATATATAGACACAATATTTCTGTAAAACATTTTCTGAGCTATCCAATTAAGGAATAAGATTGTAGCTTGTCACAAAATAGGGACCTGTCCAGAATGAAGTTCTCACTATGGTATAGAAAGATAATTGGAAGAAAAAAATCTTAAGATCTTAGAGCTAAAAGATGTTTTAGAAATTAATTAGTATGATCTCATAATTTTAAATATTAATAAAACCAGTGTCCAAAGATACTAATACATTTTCTTAGATAATGAAAATACAGGATTAAAACTCATTGATTCCCATTTAGCTTTATTTCTACAGGTGGTTGTCTTCTATTTTTAAGAGTGAAACCTTTTTGTTCAAATCATACCTTATAGATTTTTTCCCAATTTCCCTATAAGATTGTAAAATACAGTATCTTTGTGCCCAAATGGAAGGTTGATGCTTAGTAGTCTGATGGTACTTTAATTTTTCCTCCAGATTAAATTGGTTTCATGTAAACCAGAAAAATATTTTACTCTAATGGCAAACATACCAACACTTCCCAAACGTAGAAACTAGATCAAAGTTTTAACTTGATGACTGTTTTTTAAGCAATACAAAATATTTAACCAAAGAGCTTATTCTGAATGTAATAAATTTACCCTGTGTCATCTTCTTAGGTCGCATGTGCTTTGTCCATGAACATCCTCTCCACAGTTGCTGCAATCATTGCACTAATTCTAACAGTAATTGAATTGTCTCAGTTTCATTCTGTGTCATATAGGAATTATGGACAAGCGGTAAGTGACCAATCCTATAGAAACATCTTAATTTCAAAATGATTCTTGTCAGTGGTTTTCAAGCTTCAGGAGGTAAAATGAGCTTTTATTGTTCCTCAGGAAACTCTGTGATTTAGAAGTGGGCTCTTGATTGAAAGTTTTAATTCAAAAATAATTCTAAGATGATATTTTTTGTCAAAAATAAAACGTTTGAATCCTTCACTTGCCCAAATAAAATAAGTAAAAAAATTGAGGGCTTCAGTGATACGTATATATACATCAGGCATGGGTTCACCAGTGATTCTGTTAATGAAAGAAGACTATAACCTTGGACCATAAAACCATCTCCAAATCGAAAAAAGAATACTGCTATTCACACAATTTTAATTATAGATACCTTGTAATTGCCATATTAACATAGAACTTTCTATACACAGTCTATTTTTATGTCTCTCAAAAATTTTGCTCTCAGTTCTAAATATACATAAACCTATCTGGCTTCCAAATATGATGGGGAAAGAGCGGCCTCCTAAAAGTAGTTGTTGTTAGGTGCCTTCGATTCGGTTCCCATTCATAGCAACCCTACGTACAACAGGACGAAACACTGCCTGGTCCTGCGCCATCCTCACAATCGTTGTTATGCTTGAGCATTGTTGCAGCCACTTTGTCATTCCATCTCATTGAGGGTCTTCCTTTTTTACACTGACCCTGTATTTACCAAGCATAATGTCCTTCTCCAGGGACTGATACCTTCTGATAACATGTCCAAAGTATGTGAGACGTAGTCTTGCCATCCTTGCTTCTAAGGAGCATTCTGGCTGTATTTCTTCCAAGACAGATTTGTTCATTCTTTTGGCAGTCCATGGTATATTCACTATTTGTCACCAATACCATAATTCAAAGGCATCAGTTCTTTTTTGGTCTTCCTTATTCATCATCCAGCTACCACATGCATATGAGGCGGCTGAAAACACTATGGCTTGGGTCAGGAGCACCTTAGTCTTCAAGGTGACGTCTATGCTTCTTAACACTTTGAAGAGGTCTTTTGCAGCAGATTTGCCCAATGCAGTGCGTCATCTGACTTCTTGACTGCTGCTTCCATGGGTGTTGATTGTGGATCCAAGTAAAATGAAATCCTTAACAACTTCAATCTGTTCTCCCATTATCATGATATTGCTTTATTGGTCCAGTTGTGAGGATTTTTGTTTTCTTTATGTTGAGGTGTAATCCGTACTGAAGGCTGTAGTCTTTGATCTTCATTAGTCAGTGTTTCAAGTCCACTTCACTTTTACTAAGCAAGGTTGTGTCATCTGCATAATGTAGGTTGTTAATGAGTCTTCCTCTGATCCTGATATCCCGTTCTTTTTCATGTAGGCCAACTTCTCGGATTATTTGCTCAATATACAGACTGAATAAGTATGCTGAAAGGATACAACCCTGACGCACATCTTTCCTGATATTAAACCACACAGACGCCCATTGTTCTGTTCGAATGACTGCCTCTTGATCTATGTACAGGTTCCTCATGAACACAATTAAGTGTTCTGGAATTCTCATTCTTCACAATGTTATCCATAATTTGTTATGATCCACACAGTCAAATGCTTCTGCAAAGTCAGTAAAACACAGGTAAACATCGTTCTGGTATTCTCTGCTTTCAGCCAGGATCCATCTGACATCAGCAATGATATCCCTCGTTTCACAAGCTCTTTGAATCCAGCTTGAATTTCTGGCAGTTCCCTGTCGATGTACTGCTGCAACCACTTTTGATGACCGTCAGCAAAATTTTACTTGCTTGTGATATTAATGATATTGTTCGACAATTTCTGCATTCGGTTGTATCACGTTTCTTTGGAATAGGCATAAATATGGATCTCTTCCAGTCAGTTGGTCAGGTAGCTGTCTTCCAAATGTCTTGGCATAGACAAGTGAGCACTTCCAGTGCTGCATCCATTTGTTGAAACATCTCAATTGGTATTCCATCAATTCCTGGAGTCTTGTTTTTCCTTAATGTCTTCAGTGCAGCTTGGACCTCATCCTTCAGTACCATCAGTTCCTGATCATATGCTACCTCCTGAAATGGTTGAACATCGACCAATTCTTTTTGGTATAGTGATTCTGTGTATTCCTTCCATCTTTTGATACTTCCTGCATCGTTTAATATTTTCCCTGTAGAATCCTTCAACATTGCAACTCGAGGCTTGAATTTTTTCTTCAGTTCTTTCAGCTTGAGAAATGTGGAGTGTATTCTTCCTGTTTGATTTTTCTATTTCCAGGTCTTTGCACATGTCAGTATAATACTTTACTTCATGTTCTCGAGCTGCCCTTTGAAATCTGCTCATCTCTTTTACGTCACCATTTCTTCCTTTCGCTTTAGCTACACTACATTCAAGAGCAAATTTCAGAGTCTCTTCTGACATCCATTTCGGTCTTTTCTTTTCTTTCCTTTTTCTTTTTTTTTTTTTTTGTACTTTAGATGAAGGTTTACAGAACAAATCATTTCTCATTAAACAGTACACATATCGTTTTATGACAATGGTTAACAACCCTATGACATGTCAACACTGTCCTGATACTTGGCTGAAATCTTCTGTTAGTTCCAGTAGTTTTCCTGTGGATTCTTTGGGGTTTTCTGTGTATAAGATCATATCATCTGCAAATAGAGATACTTTTACTTCTTCCCTACCAATTTGGATGCCCTTTATTTCTTTTTCTAGCCTAACTGCTCTGGCTAGGACCTCCAGCACAATGTTGAATAAGAGTGGTGATAAAGGACATCCTTGTCTGGTTCCCATT